ACAACGTGAGCCAGATTGAACTCCAAAATCCAATGGCGAAAACCCAACGTAAAAATGCATTCTCTGATCGGAAGTCGGGGGCATCCCCGTGTGGACATGCGGCACTGAATACACAAATGCCAATCGCCAACGCGCGCGCGCGCGCGCGCGCGCGCGCGCGCGCGCGCGCGCGCGCGCGGCGGCATGCCGCTGATAGAGTTTCACGCAACGGGTGCCATGTTGAAATCGATCACCCAATGGCGAAAATCCAACGTAAACATTCATTCTCTGATCGGACGACGGGGACATCTTCATTGGATATGCGACGCTGAATGCAAAAATGCCAGTCGCCAGCGCGCGCGCGCGCGGCATGCCGCTTGTAGGTTTGGTACAACGTGAGCGAGATTGGGCTCCAAAATCCAATGGCGAAAACCCAATGTAAAAATTCATTCTCTGGTCGACAGACGAGCACATCCCCATGTGGACATGCGACGCTGAGTGCGCAAATGCCAATCGCCAACGCGCGCGCGCGCGCGCGCGCGCGCGCGGCGGCGGCGGCATGCCGCTGATAGAATGTTATACAACGGTGCCATGTTGAGCTCGAAAACCCAATGGCGAAAACCCAATGTAAACATTCATTCTCTGATCGGAAGACGGGAACATCCTCATTGGATATGCGACACTGAATGTTCAAACGCTAGTCGCCAACGCGCGCGCGCGGCTGCGGCATGCCGCGGGTATGTTTGGTACAACGTGAGCGAGATTGAACTCCAAAATCCAATGGCGAAAACCGAATGTAAAAAATCATTCTCTGATCGGGAGACGGGGACATCCCCATGTGGACATACGACACTGAATACACAAATGCCAATCGCCAGCGCGCGCGCGGCGGCGGAATTGAATTCCAAAACCCAATTGCGAAAACCCAATGAAAAAAATCATTCTCTCATCGGAAGACGGGAAAATCCCCATCGGCATTTTCCCTGGTACCGAGGTATATACACACGGCATCGATCGGTATCCGTGGGATTTTTTCCAGGGGGACACATAAGAATTAGTTATTGAATCGCTTCGCTCATTCCGCCGGCCCGTGATATGGCATCGCTGGTTTTTGTCTGTGTGTTCGTTGCCCATGTTGCGCTTTTGGTTATTCGGATGCGAAGTAGTGGCAGTCGGGATCTTGGGGGGGGAGGGAAGGGGTAATATTTTTTCAATTGTTTTTGGACACTAGTGATCCTGTGGCGCGGTTGTTGGTTTGGTTTGGTTTGTGGTCTGGTGGTCTGGTTGGTGGTGTGGCTGGTGGTCTGGTTGTGTGGTTGGGAGTGTGACTGGTGGTGTGGTTGGTGTTGTGGTGGTGTGGTCTGGTGGTGTGCGTGGTGGTCTGGTGGTGTGGTGGCCGGTGTGGCCAGTGGTCTGGTGGTGTGGTTGGTGATGTGGTTGGTGGTGTGGCTGGTGGTCTGATGGTGTGATTCGTGATGTGTCTGGTGGTTTGGTTCGTGGTTTGGTGGTGTGTTTGGCGGTGTGGTTTGTGGTCTGGTGGCATGGCGTGTGGCGTGGCTGGTGGCTGGCGGTGAGGTTGGTGGTGTGGCTGCTGGTCTGGTGGTGCGCTTGGTGGTTTGGCTGCTGGTCTGGCGGTGCTCTTGGTGGCGTGGCTGGTGGTGTGGCTGGTGGTGTGGCTGGTGGTCTCGCGGTGTGGCTGGCGGTCTTTTGGTGCGTTTGGTGGCTTACTTGGTGGTCAGGTGGTGTGGCTGGTGGTATCTATGATGGTCTGTCTGGTGGTGCGGCTGGTGTTGTGGTGGTGTTGTACTGTGTTTCACGCATGGGTCCTTCTTCCATTACCCCCATCCCACTGCAAGCACATAGGAAACACAAGCAAAGGTGTCATGCCTGAATCTTTTGCCCCCGCTCCACTTGCAAACCAAGTAACAACAAAATCAACAGCTGCATGCGTGAATCCGTTGCCCCCCGCTTCTATCGCGTGTACATAGAAGGCACAGGCCAGAGGCTGAACCCATGAATCCGTTTCTCTCCCCTCCCCTTGCAAGCGAATGACACGCAAATGCACGACGCTTCACCCATAAATCCTTTACTCCCCCCTCCCCCTGGAAACGCAATGCAATAGCAATGGTTTCGTGAGTGAGTCCTTGACTTCCCGCTCCCCCTGCAAGCAATTCAAAGGCAACCGCAAAAGGTTTCATGTTATGAGAGACGAACGCAGGAAGGCTTCATGCGTGAATCCTTTCTCCCCGATCCCCCAAGCAAGCAAATTCAAGGCAGAACACCAACGCTTTATGCGTGAATCTTGCACCCCACCCCTCCCCCTGCCAGACAACCACCCCGCCAACCAGACGATACCAACCAAGACACCGACACCAACCAACAACACGACACCAACCAACAAGACTACAACCAAACAAGACCAAGCAACGAAACGATACCAACCAAACGACGCCAACCATCAAAGCAACACCAACCAAGACGAACTGAACCACCAGCGCGACACCAACAAACAAGCGAGAACCGCTGCCCAACAAAACGACATAATCCAACAGGACGTGGCCTTCCGATAAAGCGACGCCCTAGAGGCATCGAAATGGCTTCCAGGAGGCCCCCGAAAGGCCTCGACGAGATCCACACGATGATCCCAGAGACCAGGGGCCCACAACCCAAGCACGGTGGCGGGATGGGGTGAACGCCATTCGATCGACGAAGCCTCCTCAATGCTTCCACGAATCACCCGCGAGGGTCCAAGAAGGCCCCGGGCCCCAGGAGGCTGACCCGCCTCGCGTTCACATGATATTATCCTCATCCACCTCATGCGTTTCCACCTCCCCCTCCTCTTGCTCCCCCTTTAATCCTCCCCATAAGGCGGGCGAAAACCAGGATCACGCCGGATGGCATTCCACCGTGAACAACCGAGTGAACAAGCAGGGTGGCGTGATTGTAAGCAGGCGTTCGACACCACGAGGGCCATTCCAAGACCATGTGGCAATGCCAGCCTGCAAATACATTGAACGCACCACAAAGACCCACGCTCGGCGATCGCAGCGCCGGGTGGGAGATGCTAGCACGAAGCGCACAGGCAACGTAAAGTGAAAAGGGTCGTTGGTGAATCTGGCAGGGCGCCCCCCCATCACACACTTAGATGCAATGGGCCCATCATCGTTCGCATTACCTCGAAGAAGTTTGCGAAAGTGAATCATCACGCGGGGTGGCACGCAACTGTGGATTGGCAAGGGAACAGACAATGTGACGTGGCTATACGCAGGCGTTCGACACCACGAGGGCCATTCCAAGACCATGTGGCAATGCCAGCCTGCAAATACATTGTGCGCACCATAAAGACCCACGCTCGGCGATCGCAGCGCGGGGTGGGAGATACTAACACGAAGCGCACATGCAACGTAAAGTGAAAGGGGCAGTTGGTAAATCTGGCGGGCCCTCCCCATCGCACCCTGTCGTGGGTCTAATACCGTTCGCACTGCCTCGGTACAGGCCTGCACAAGTGCACCACGACGCGTGGTGGCGCGCCACCGCGGATAGGCGAATGAAACAAAAAAGTAGCACGTTCTGGTGCAGGCGCTCAACACCGCGAAGGCCACTCGAAGACCTGTGGCGACGCCAACCTGCAAATGCATTGTGCGCACCACAACGGCCCCCGCTCGGCAATCGTAGCACCCAGCGGGGGACACTGGCGCCGCGTATGTTTACCCTTTTCTGGGTCTCTCTTGGGCCGTCCTGGAAGCGTGGAAACTTTTTGGGCCCTGCCCCTCTCGTGCGTTCTAGGGTCGTGTCGGGGTGACATTAGGGCCCTCTGGGCCGTGGGCCATGCTCCTGGGACCGGTAAGATGGCGATGCTACAAGCATGCGAGAACCAATGCGATTTTGTCCATGCTAACCTTTCGGGCCCGCCCAACGGCAAGGGCGACGGCGAGGTGGGGCTCGGAGGAAAGAGTGGCGCAACAGCAACTGGGGATCGGAAGAAAAGTGAAGGATCCTCGTTAAAACCGCATGGTCAAATCGCAATATATCCGCATTAGAATCCTGCAGGAACCACCCTCGGGACACAACCGAGCTTCTCCATGGGGTTCTCGTAGCAACGCCCAGAGGAACCTGAGTTGGGCCACCCATCGGAGTCCCAATTAGGCTCCCCATGGAAAACCCCATAGGCATTCACCGTGAACGGCGCCGTAGAAATCATACAAACCTTCGCGCAGGAACCCCCTGCCCCCCCCAAGAGTCCCAATTGGGTTCCACATGAGGGCCGCCATTGGGGTCCTCACCGGAATCCCCGCACCAATTCCAATACATATCTCCATATGAAGCCCCATGAGAAACCCCGAAGGATTTCCCGTGGGACCCCCCTGACATCGGAATCCCTCAAGAGGAATCCCCATCATAATCCCTATAGACATCCACCCCAGGAATCCTCAGGAAATCCCCAGAGGACCACCCACAAAAGAATCCCACTAGGAATCCCAAGATGGGCCCCCACACGTATCCCCATAAGAACCCCCGAAATAAATCCCCATTGGACTCCCCCCAGAAAATGAGCCCCCCTAAAATACCGACAGGATGAGGGCCCGCGCGAGAATCCCCATGACAACCCCAGACATCAAACTTGGAATCCCCGCAGGAATCCCCATAAGACTCTCCATAGGGACACGCGCAGGATTCCCCAGACAATCTCTCCCTGGGAACCCCCTGAAAGGATCCACCTGGGAATCAAAATAGGAATAAACAAATCAGCGTGGGGCCTCTATAAGAATCCGACCAGGAATACCAGTCGAGTCTCCGCGGAATCCACATAGGATTCCCCAAGGGAACCCCTGGAGGAAACCACGGCGCTCAGCGGAATCCCTACAGGAATCCCCGCGCGAATTCTCGCTCGACCCTCGTGGGAAACCCGTGGAACTCTCCTTGAGGGCGCCACGGGAAAACCCCACCCGCCGCCCGCCGCCGTTCGGAAGGAGGGGGGCCCTTCCGAACGGCCCGGGGACAAAGGTTCACCCGCGGGCGTCCTCCGCACGACCCTGTGGGTATGAGATAGTTCCAACACGTCGCCTCCAGTGCCGCGCTGGACGATCCCGCTGATCTCTTGCCCACTCCCATTGGTGCCCTTGAACGTTCGCAGCTTCGCTTCCTCGACGGTGACGCCGTGCGTCGATTCGAAGTCATACTTGCTCACAATCGTATGTTGCTCCTTCACGGTAGCATCCGAAATGGTCTCCAGATATACCTCCTCCAACGGGAAGTCGCGGCCGTCGGGGTTGTCGAGAGACTTAGCGTACTCGGCCCGTTGTTCCGTCAGTTCCGTGGCGCGCTTCTTCGCGCCCCCCTCACATGGCGAGGGGGGGGGAGGGGCAGGGGGGGGGAGAGGAGGAAGAGGGTGAGGGGGAGGAGGAAAAAAAGGACAAGGCGAGAATAACCATGATGGAAACGCGGAACACGAGGACGACGAGCCAAGGGACGCGGGAGGAGGAGGTGGAGCAAAAATAACGGGAAGGGGGAGAACGCACGGGGAATCTAAGGGGCTGAGAAAGAGGGCGACGGCGGAAGAGGACATCCACAGTCAACCCGCATAGCAAAGACGCGCGGCAAGGAGGCATGGGCCTTGGAAGGCCACGCCAGCATTTTGCGGGAGGGCCGTGGCCAGGGAAAAAAAGAGGCCATCGATGGGCCGACGAGGCAAGTATTCGGATGCAAGGGCGCCCTTGGAAAGTCGCTCGCCCTTAAGATGAAGATGTGGGTTCACTGTTCAGATTAACGCGGGCTGACGCTTGGGAAATAGGAAAGACCCACACTCGCACAGCCACCGTGATGGTGAAAGGGACAAAAAAAGATGACAACGATAGGGCCGACCAAACCACGAAAGAACGGACGTGCCCAGCGGGGACATCCAGAACGAGCCTTCTCGGACAGAAGCTTGCCGATGTCCTTGCCCGAGGCGTCGGCAAAGTCACAGCGCGTCTGGCAGCAGGTGCCTTCCAGGAGGATGCTAGCAGGGGAAAAAGAGAGGAGGTGGTAGCGGTGGTGGCGGTGGTGCTCACTGCGGAGTTTCAACATCAATTACATGCAATGCTGCTGCGATCGCCGTGCTGCGAGCAAAAATACCAGCCCTCGAAAGGTAGGGGGGCTGAAGGAGTGCAAGCCTTTGGCCACTGGTCGCCCAGTGTCGTCGTCTATCTCGTGGGGCCAATTCGCCAAGTTCGAAGCGCAAATCTCCTGGCAGAAATCGCAGTGCAGCGTCGAGGCGGGGCCGGAAGCAGTCCTCGGCTTCTTCTTAGGCGCCATTGCAACAGGGCGCGAGGCGAGACAGACTGTGATTTGTCGGCAACGTGCCAGACCGATGCAAGTTGGGCGCTGGGCGAATCCTTCCCTTGAGCGGAAATCCGTTTGGCGAACGCATCCGGTGCACGGGGTAATCGCCGCGCTGTTGCAGCTGCTTCTCGTCCCCTCCTCCTCCTAGTCCTCCTCCGTCCTCCTCCTGCTCCGTCCTCTTCCACCTCCTCCTCCTTTCTCCTCCTCCTCCACTTCCTCATGTTTCCCGATATCCTCCTCACCCACATCATTTTTTTATCCTCCCCTGTTGGCGCCCCTGGGTTGCGATGCGGCGGGGGGAGGGGGGTGGGCGCTTGCTCGCGGACTGGACGCACCACTCATACCGTACAACTGCGCGGAAGCACAAACACGGCTCGCAAGCGGTCGAAACAGCCGAAAACAAAACAACAACCATGAAACGCTCACACGTTTGTGGCAAACCGCAAGCCGCCGCATTTGCAAAACAATTACCAAACGGCGAACAAACAATACTGTCTACCCAAAGAGACCTCGAGGCAACCTCAAGATTCCCCCAGGTAGCTTGGCGTGGCCCAGGTTAATCTCCGATAGCCTCTAGCCGAGCGTGGCCCAATATAGTTTCGAAGAGGCCTCGGGAATGGCGCCCGATCGTGCCTGGGTGGGCTGGCGGGGATACGCGGAGCGCGAGAATTAGACTTCAAAAAGTCAAGCGCCTCTTTCTTAGTTCCAGCCCCCACGGCGCGGGCAAAAAATACACCTTGCACCCGCCAGTCTCCAGGGGCGCACATCAGCAAAGCCTGCCGCTTGGCTCTGTTCGAAGGAATGTTTGGCACGAACACGTCGAGCATGCGAAGCTTGTATTCTGCAGCATCCGCGCCGATTGGCGACTGGAGAAACTCGAAATTGCGATCAATAACTGTCATCCAAGCTTTCCTCAAATGGCGCATTTGGCCAGGCTGGTGCAAAGTAGCGACGGTGGCCTTCAACCCCGTGAAATAATCACCAAACAATTCGTACACCCTCTCGTGCGTTGCCGCCCCTATTTTGTGAGAGCTGCACAACAATATCAACGATTTCCAATCACCGCGCTCCCGTTGTATAGATTTCTCCGCCTTGCTGTTGGCAAGGTACCCGTCCACGGACGCGATGCGGATTTTCCGCCCGAAACTTTCCTTGTAATGTGTACCCGAACGTTGCTGGTTCAACATCGCTACCAAGCAAGCAGCGGTTGTCCGGTCGGACGTCTGCAGCCATATCAAATGCGCGCCCACGATCCGCCACCGCGCCCCTCGGCGCTTTGAGGTGCATGCAAAGTGTTGTGTCGTAGGTTAAGCCCGCCCAGAATCCCACCATCCCTCTAGGCGTCGGTGGTCTAGGGCTGTGTCTCTTCCAACGCCCATCTCCCACTCCAAGGGAAAATTAATTTTTGTTCCATATTACTATACACCACCTCCCCCAGGCGACTGGGAGCCAACCAAGGACAATGCGGGCCCCCCCCCCACCACCCCTTGTAAAGAACGATTAAAAAAAATCTGCATCCAATTCGGAGCATGCGCAGCGAACCCGATGCGGCCCCCCCGCGCCATCCTTGTCAAAACCAATACAGAGTACACTCGGCGGTGGCGGCGGCTGCGGCGGGGGCAGCGGTTGCGGCGGGTGCGGCGATGGCGGCGGCGGTGGCGGCGGCGGCGGCGGGGGCGGCGGCGGCGGCGGCGGTGGCGGCGGCGGCGGCAGCGGCGGCGGCAGCGGCGATTCGACGCGGCGGCGGCGGCGGCGGACGGCGGCGGCGGGCGGCGCGGCGGCGACGGCGGCGGCGGACAGCGGCGGCGGCGGCGGCGGACAGCGGCGGCGGCGGCGGCGGCGCGGCGGCGGCGGAACCGGATTCGCCCCCAGTAAGTGCCCATCCAAAGACGACTGCTGAATATGCTGCGGTTCGGGCCAGGCTCGGGTGCTACGTATGTGTTGGAAGGGCGGGCGGGGGTGAGCGATGCGGCTTACGGGCGAGGAGGGGGCCTTGACCCTCCCCGCACCCCCTGCCCTGAACCTGGGGGAAGGGTTCCGCGAGGCGCTGGGGCGTCCACGCGAACTCATCAGAGAGGGCTTGTCCATGTACGTGTTGAGGGCGAGGAAACCGACGGCGTCAAGGCAACCTCATCAGGCAGGGGTTGACCGACATATAGCACGGTATTCACACGCGTACGTCACGACGGATACTTGTGCAGAGGAGGACGGATTAAATCGGGAATTTAAGGGGGTACGTACAGGTACTACAACTGTTACATCGGGAATTCAAGGGGGTACGTACAAATACTACAATTGTTCTTACGTGCTCTTCATTTGAACACGCAACTGTGGCGCAGGCCCAGAATGGCCCCCGACATATATCACGGTATCACATATGTACCCACTGCGTGCACACTATCACGGCATCGCCACTTAATGCACAAGCACGCGCTCATCATTCACACGTGAATGTGAGGAAACCGACGGCGTCAAGGCAACCTCATCAAACAGGGGTTTACCGACATATATCCCGGCATTCACACTTGTGCGTCACGACAGATACTTGAACAGTGGAAGACTGATTGGATACGCGCTGGTGGTGCCGAGATAGCCTGGCTCCCGACATATATCGCAGTGGAAATGTACTCACTGCGCGCACACTACCGCGGCATCGCCACGCAGTGCACATGCGCGTGCTCATCATTCACACGTGTATGTGAAGAAACCGACGGCGTCAAGGCAACCTCATCACGACATGCGCCGGTCTCTCACCATATGTACTTGCGCATGTGCAGATCCGTATGGCTCACGACAGATACTCGCGCAGACAGAGCGCATCACGACTGTGAAGCAGGGGGCGGGTCCAGACACAGTGCACAGGTGCTGCTTGCCTGTAGATGACTTTGGGTAATTCCAGTGGTGCTCGTTGTGTCTGTGGCGGTGTACCATGTGTACTTGTGCATGTCACGACGCGCGCCGTCTGCCGTATGCCGTCGCGCGCGCGCGGCGGCGGCATGCCGCTGATAGATTTTACGCAACGGGGCGACATTTCGCTCGCGCGCGGCGGCGGCATGCCGCTGATAGACTTTATACCACGGGGCGAAACTTGATCTCCAGAGCCCAATGGCGGAAACCCAATGTAAACATTCATTCTCTGATCGGAAGACGGGAACACCCCCATGTGGATATGCGACACTGAATGCTAAAAATGCCAATCGCCAGCGAGCGCGAATGCGGCGGCGGCATGCCGCTAATAGATTTGATACGACAGGGGCGATGTTGCACTCCAAGACCCAATGACAAAAACCCAATGTAAACATTCATTCTCTGAACGGAAAACGGGAACATCCCCATGTGGACATGCGACAGCGAATGCGCAAGTGCCAATCGCCAGCGCGCGCGAGGTGGCGACATGCATCTGATAGGTTTTATAGCATGGGGGCGATGTTGAATTCCAAAACTCCATGGCCAAAGCCCAATGTAAAAAAATCATTCTCTGATCGGAAGACGGGAACATCCCAATGTGGACATGCGACGCCGAATGCACACATGCCAATCGCCAGCGCGCGCGGCGGCGTACCGCTGAAAGATTGCATGTCACAGTAGCGACGTTGAGCTCTAAAGCCCAATGGCGCAGCCCCATGTAAAAATCAATTAATTCTCTTATCGGACGACGGGAATATCACCATGTGGATATACAGCGCGGAATGGTCGCCATCGCGCGCGCACGGCGGCGGCATGCCCATGATAGATTTTTGTACCACGGGTGCCATGTTGAACTTCAAAACCCAATGGCGAAAACCCAATGTAAAAATTCATTCTCTGATCGGAAGACGGGGACATCCCCATGTGAGTATGCAACACTTAATGCACACATGCCAATCGCCAACGCGCGCGCGCGCGCGCGCGCGCGCGCGCGCGCGCGGCGGCGGCATGCCGCTGATAGGTTTGATACGACGGAAGCGAGGTTGAACTCTAAAATCCAATGGCGAAAACCCAATGTAAAAATTCATTCCCTGATCGGAAAACGGGAACATCCCAATGTGGGCATACGACACTGAATGCACAAATGCCATCCGCCAGCGCGCGCGCCCAACGCGCGCGCGCGGCGGCATACATCGGATAGATTTTATACCATGGGAGCGATGTTGAATTCTAAAACCCAATAGCGAAAACCCCATGTAAAAAATCTTTCTCTGATCCGAAGACGGGAACATCCCCATCGGCATTTTCCCTGGTACCGAGGTATATACACATGGCATCGATCGGCATCCATGGGATGTTTCCGAGGGGGACAGATAAGACACATAGTTATTCGGATGCGAATTAACTGCAGTCGGGATCCGGGGGGGGAGGGGGGTCATCATTTTTAAAACCGGTTTTGGACATTAGCTGGATGGGCTGCCACTGCTACGCGAAGCGTCAAGAATTGCCCCGAAGTGGCCAAGTACGGCCCCATTACGACCCAAAACGCCGTCCGAAACTGCGCAAGCGGGCCGACCGATGAACCCCCGGAAACGGCCCCAAGAGGCCAACACTTAAACATAACATGTCGTTCAAATTCTTGAGATGCGGCAGAATCCTCACCCTGTCGGGCTTCCGCCAAACCGATGCACCCCGAGAGACGTCCAACATGGGCTCCAGATGGCCCGCGGGGGCCCGAACGTAGCCCAAACGGCCCCCGACATTGCCCAGGGCCAAGGAGGCCCCCTGACGGCGCAATATAAACCCAAAGCAAACCAGAAACCATATCTGAAAAAAAACCACGGAACCCGAGCGGCATTGGAAAACCAGGCGACGGCTCCAATGCGGCGGCCCTGAAAAAAACTTCACCCAGACGGCCTGAAGGCGTTAGCGCTGCCCGAACGAACCCCGCTATTTCCCCGAGAGGGGGCGCCAAAAAGGTCCAACGGGGCCCAGGACACCAGGAGGCAACGACGCTTTGAAAAGCCGACCGAAATCACTGCGAACATGCTTCCATACAGTGGAAGCGCCAGGCGTCGCGCGCGACGGCCCCCCTTATCGCCATCATCCCCCCGCCCGCCGCCATCATCTTAAACTCCAATTTCGCCGTGGCCTACGTGAGCATCATAATGTTAAGGTTCCTTGTCGTCCGCCCAAAGAACCGTATATGATCGTTGCATGCGCCACTCGCTGGGTCTTACCATCGCGGCGAGCATCGTCATTATTGCCCTTTGCCATCGCGACATTCAAAACCATCATTTTCATCATTTTCAGCAGCATCGTCACCATTATCGTCATCATCATCATCATCACCATCATCGTCATCAGCATCATCATCGTCATCAGCATCATCATCGCCATTCGCACCATCAACATCCGCACCATCACGTGCGCCACCATCATCATGAAACTCTGCGCTGCCACGGGGTGGGAGAGCGGGTCACACGTCACAGCTTCCGCGCGCAAGAGGGCGCGAGATGCCACACGTTATTGTTTAGTGTCGGGCCCTTGCAAAGTCGCGACCCACGGTGCTGGACTGGCGCGCGGGCGTGGCGGTAAGCCGTTGGATAAGAATGAACTCGCCCTGGTGCTGCACCAGCATTGCGACGGTTCCCTCGGACTGTAAGATTTTCCCTGGGGCGGTCCTCCTCTGGCCCGGGTAAGGAGGACGAGCGGTCGTATCATGCTCAACTATCCGCAGCCGCACCGATGGACACGGAATGGGCGTGTCCCGGGGTCCTTTGCCGAATCCCTTGCAGTCAACCAGTAAAAGAAAGGACGCGAGATAGTGATGCAAGGACACTGGAAGGCCATGCTGTGGACACTTTGCGGGCGGGGCGTTGCCATCGAGAGCGGCCAGGGATGGGCCGAAGGGAAAGGATGCAAGGGCGGCCTTGGGAAATTCCTGATCCCTACTATGCGGGTTGACTGTGAGCAGCCCAGTGGAATCTTTAAGGGGCCCAAGCCCAAAATGTTGAAATATCCTGGGGCTTGCCGCGGTTCCCCTGGGTTCCAGCGCATCTGCCCCCGCGATTGGTTCGGGGTCCAAGCAGGCCCCCCAAAATGGCCAAGAGGGCCCTGAGAGGCCCTCGAAACGGTCGACGCGGGCCCCGAGACGCCCACACATCCCACGACGACGCCCAGGACGGCCCCGAAAGGGTCCAAGCGGCCTCCGAGACGCTGCAAGAGAGCTCCAAAAGCCCTCCCACGAGGGCAGAATCACTGAGGTCCCATTCGTGTTCAATGATTGTGGGGCCCTCGGCTCCTCGAGCCCCCGAAGGTCCAAAACGGCCCAAGAAGCCCCCTGGGCCGCCCCAGGACGGCCCAAGAGGCTTCCAAGACGGCCCAAGAGGGCCCCCAAACCCTCAGAGGGGCCCAAGAGAGGGATCGATAACCGACAATCCGAACGTTCCGCCCCAAGAGGCCCCTAAGAGGCACAAGAGGCTACAAGAGGCCCCAAGAGACCACCAAAAGGTCACCAAGAGGCCCGGAATAAGCCCCAAAACGCCCCCCATGACGCTGCAAAACTGTTTCCAAGAGGCCCCCGAAAAAGGCCGCCCACGAGATCCCAACGAACATCCACTAGGCTTCGTACCCACAGCCCAGGCACGATGGCGGGCTGGGCCGAAGGCCATTCGATAACATCGCCTGGCAAAGACAACGTCCCAGCGCCGAGTGCATGAGCTAGGCGGCCCGCTTCAAGTTTTACTGTTTCTGCTGGGACGTCAGTAGACGTCAAGTGCATATCGATGCCATCATACGTAACAAATTCGAAATAAACGCTCATGGTATATGCGTCATGGTTAGCTATAGTATGCTCCAGACGAGACCATACATCCCTCTCGTATTCTATTGCCATTGCAGCCGCAGCGCTCCGCAAACCTCGCAAGGTCCTGGGGGAGACGCCGAGCATCTTAGCCTCAATTGTGTTGTTCGAGAACAAATCTTTTTCAACGAAAAAATGATTGGCCACAGCAGCGTAGGCCTCGTGAAGTTGGTCGTGCCGCCTGCAATCGCAACATACATCTCGGATGCTCTCCAACATATGGGGCGCTGCAACGGCGCCGAGCGGCGCAACCTCTGGCGGCGCGCCGAGGGGGGGGCGGGGGGGGGTTCTTGGAAGGCACGGTGCTTCTTAGAAATCCTCTGGCGGCTGAGGGTTTCTAAGAAGTACCCTTCCTTCTAAGAAGCCCCCCCTCCCCCCCCCACCCCATTCGGGGCGCCGCCGAAACCTGCAGGCCCGAGGAGGCGCCAGCGGGCACAATCTGCTTGTCCGCGAGGGCAGCAGCTTTGGGATCGTCCGGGCCCTCCTCTGAATCGCTCCTCCAACACGTTGGCAACAACGGGGAGAATCCAGGGGAGCTGATGCTGCTGCTCCCGCAATCTGGCAGATTATCCAGACATGTTCCCAACGGGCTGGGGCTGCTTTTAACCGAATCGCCATTCGACAAATTGTCCAAACATCTGGCAAGCACATCATCCTCGGGGCTCGGCGTGCTATTCCCCAGGGCCTCCAAGCAAGAGTCGTTCATGATGAAACCAAAACGACTGCAGATACGATGGTTGCGACAATGATGATAATGATGGGGGTAACGGTCGTGATTGCGAACGTGCGCAGGATAGCGCATCTCTGAACGTTGACTGGTCTGGGGCGCACCTTCGAACCTATCGCGACGGCACGAGACACCCAACATGAAGAAACTAGGCAAGGGCACCTGCTGGGAGAGCGTTCCGTTGAATGCGACCCCTGACGTGCCCACGCAGAAAACGGTATGCACATGATGGGCCCGAGCATGAGTAATGAGTAGGTGCAAATTGGAAATGGCAAGCGCTGGCGCCACGCTCGATCGATGGACAAAGGGCAACTTCGTAAAGACTCCCAGGTCTCCGTCGCAAATCTGCCGACCGCCAGCCGCGGATCCTAAGGAGGTCACGTGCGCTCTCTGTGCGTGCGATCGCACAAAGCAAACGAGAGGACCCCCTACAGTCAGACTTGATTGGAGCGGACACGCGGGAGGACACAATCCTCTTCCGACGGCAGCGTGGCCCCAGAACACCACAGGACGTGCGGGTTGCGTAGGTCGGGTAAGCAGGACACAGGAGTGCGTGTGATTTGGCACGGTCGACCTACAAATCAAAGTCGACTGTATCAGAAAACTCCGACACTTACATCCGCATACCGACCATTACACATTTCTCGTTGCGCTCCTGGCCCGACCACTCATGAATCTTCGAGGCGAGTCCAGCCGTGCTGCGGGGACCCCCCACGTGGCAAGGCACGGAAAAGCTTGGCCGAATCGAATCGATCTGCGAGCGGACGTAGGCAGAGAGCTGTGAACTCACGTGGTCGGTGGGAAAATGGCGAGAACAGTTGGAGTCAGACGTTTCGTGCGTTGCCCCCATCGTGCGCATGCCGTTCCTCCCGAATTGCACAAGCGAACGGAGCGTTCCCCCCTTCTCTTCCTCCTCCACCTCCTCCTCCTCCTCCTCCTCGCCCTCCTTACTTCCAATTTCCCTCTTCCTCGTGCAATTGCTGCTCCCGCTGACTCCTCTCCTCAGCGTCCCTGTTCCGCCTGGCGCAGTCTCCTCCTGGATTCCCTCACGGACCTCATCCTCCGCCTCCTCCGCCTCCTCCGCCTCCTCCTCCTCGCAGCATGGACACACGAGTGATCATCATCCTTCAGCTCCTTTGTTTTCCACGTCGTTTCTCCTCCTCCCCGTCCTCCTCCTTGTCCTACTCATATCCTCTTGTTTCGTCTTGTCGTCGTGCTCTCCTGCATGCTACATATGCCTCCTCCTCATGCTCCACGTATCCTGTTCCATCAAGCCTTCCTTTTCTCCGTAGCCATTTTGGCTGAAGGTTTTGATGTTAGCGCTGAACAGCGTGGATGCCGCTAGTCCGCGGCAGTGCCGAGGCCTTCCGCCCGACATTCTTAATAAACGCTTGGGTCAGCCTGCCAAGGCGGCTCGAGCATCCAGTGAGCTCCTGCTGGAGCAGATCCCCCCGTCTCAAGCTGGCGATGGGCACGCGGCATGAGCAAGCTAGCCGCTGGTTCTGCAAGTCCTGCACCAATGATCGGACGGGGAAGCCGGGCAGGCTGCTCCGGCCAATATCAAGGAGCTCGAGGCGCAGGTTCGTCAGCTGCAGCTGAAGGGCAACAGGTTTCGGGCGTCTCCGACCGCTGGTGCGGACGGGGCGATGCTCGAGCACCCTGCGCACCTCCCCTGGCCAGGGGCAGCTGCTCGACCACTCCATGGCGACGGTGGAGGGCTCGCGGCGCGTGCCACCGCGCATGCGGCGCGCCTCGCAGGGGGTGGGAGCGCCGATGGGGGGAGATCGTGGGATGGGTCCTCCTTCGTTGCTCCCATGGCCATCGATGTTCATTCCGATGGGGGGAGATCGTGCGCTGGGTCTGGGCCTCCCCTTACTGCTCCCGTGGCCATCGAGGTGCATTCCTGTGTGTGTGTGTGTGTGCGCGCGCGTGTGTGTGTGTGTGTGTGTGTGGGTGTGTGTGTATGTGTATGTGTGTGTGTGTGTGCGTGTGTGCGAGAGTGCGCGCGTGCGCGCGCGTGTGCGCGGGGGGGGGGGGAGGGGGGCTCGATCGTTGGGTCGCCCCTTATTTTTCGCATGGCTGCCGAAGTGCATTCCGACAGGGGGAGATCGAGTGGCCTGCCTTCCTGTGTTGCTTTTGTGGCTGTCGACTCCCAGTCCAGTAGGGGTTCCACTCCTGGCCGCGATGGCAGCTCGGGTGATGGGCAAGGTTATGCTGTGCATGGATGTGCTGGCTTGCGCACTGCGACGACTAGAGGGCGCGAGGGTGGGCGGCCTGGTAGTGGATGGTGACTTGTCATAGTTTGGGGCGCCTGGGGATTTCGACGAAGACGAATTCTTTGGGCTTGGTCGACTAGACGAGAGGGCGACGACGGCGACGAGCTATCCCTGCGCCGTTGGCTCAATGGTCGCGGCGGCGTCTGAGCAGCAGGACGTGCCGACGCCAATCAACCTCAAGTTGGAGGGTGCTGTTACGACGGCCAGCGTGGAGGGTGCTGAACCGTTCGAAGTAAGCTCGGCACGTTGTCGGTCGCAGATTGCGTTTGTCCAGGGGCATGAGAGCCGCGACAGACAATTGCCGTCCATGCAGGCTCATACCAAGGATCTCGGCTTCCACGGTTGGTTTGCAGGTGCAGTCGAGACGGGCGGGCGAGGGCGGTCTGGCGGTTTTACGGCGTTGGCGCCTTCTCAGATTGCGGCGAAGCCCCCCCCCCTCCCCGCGAGAGACAGCCATGCCATGCATCCTGAGAGGATCGTTGCTGCTGGTGTGGTTTGGTCAGTGCTGGGCGGAGTGGTGGCTGTCTGTCTGCCTCATCTGGAGAGGGGCACAGCGTCGATAGTAAGGCGTTGCTTGCGACCCTTGGCAGGTATGTCGCTGGGCTCAATGGGCCTGGCAAGGGTTGGATCGCGGCGGGGGGTTGGGATGCGCCGTCCAGCAGCTTGCCAGATGGATGGGCCAATGGCGCAGGCGGCTTCATTGCTGAACGTTTGCGGCCCGCGTGCGTTGCTGAAGTTGCAGGCCGCATCGTTGGCTATGCACTGATATGCAGCAATCTTGCTACGCGGGTGCGAAGCCCTGCGGCGATCGATGACAGCAGCATCGAGGTACGTCCGCCCGCGGAGCTCCCACTGCTGGCTGAGGACACGGAGTCTTGGGCGAGGATGGCGGTCGAGCCCGCGCCTTTCGCTAAGACGCTGCCCATTGGATGCGCGCTTCCCCGTGAATTGGCGCAGGGTCGAACGACGAGCTTCTTATGCCAAGAGCGCGGATGACCTCACTGTTGCTGGGGATTCTTTAGTTGGCGGCACTTAATTTGAGCTGCAATGCGCGCGCGATTGCGTCGAGGGTGACAAGGCTCGCGCGACGTCTGGGCGAGGAGGACTCCTCGCGATGGGCGGATCTCAAGCAGACCAGGTGGCGCCCTGCGCATGCGAGAACGCATCGTGGTTTGCCATTGCGCGCTCTGTCCACGGCTCGAGAGCCGAGCGCGCACTGTCTTAGAGCACGCGTCTATATAACCCAGCTCGTCGACAAGCTGTTGGGTTGGAAGAATGGAGAGCGCGTGCTGGCAGATGGCGATGATCTGCTTCCCGTGGCGAACGTGTCGGTGGAGTGTCGGGGTTGTGCGCGCGGAGTTCGGCAGTGTAGTAAGACGCTCGAGGCCTCGCCGAATTGGGTGGCTGACTGTCGCGCGCCTGGCCCCTGCCTCCGGCTGTTGGCGCGCGATGGTCTAGAGCGCGTGGCGGATAGCACTGGCAAGTTGCACGAGGAGCAGCAGGGCGGGCATGGCCGCAGGCATCTCGCTTGGGGGTCAGACGCGGGCGGGTCAGCCCGTCGAGAAAGGGGCCAGTGGTGCGCGCATCTTTACGCGAACTCAGGCTGTTCAAAAAATCATGGCGGCAGGCGCTGAGCAATCCCCCCGCGAGCTCGCTGAGCGCGAGTTAGGGGCGCGGCAAAAAGGCGTGGAATATTCATGGAGTTGGGGCCCCGACGCTGCCAGAAGATCATGGGCCGGGGCGCGCGTTGCCGCGCGTGTCTGCTGCGATGCTTGGGGGGGGGGGGGGGTACTATTAAGTTGGAGACGGCGGCTGGGCCTTCGAAGCTGCAGCCCCGTTCGCAGTGGCTTCTGTCGACGGAGGCGCTGGTGGCTATGACGAGTTTCTTCGTGAAGCCTGGGGGGCTGCCAGCTTGGTCATCTCCGCGCATGCATTCGGGAATCGCGAGGATTCCCAGGGATGGAAGCGGTACCAGGTTGGCGGCCCTCATGCACACCATTGCGCGGATTTGGCCGCGTATTAGAAGGCCACTGTCGCGCGAGTGGCTGAAGAGGCCCCCGTCTGAGATGGCGCGGGGCAATCGGTCAGGTTAAGCTTCCTCGGTCGGTGTTCGCGCGCAACGATCTGGCTGAGGTGCCCAAGCTGCCGGGCGAACGCCCCGCGGCGGCGACGGTGGATGCGCGGGGATGTTTCGACGCGGTGAATACCAGCTGCCTTTTCCAGGAGGCGCGAGCAGTGGGGCGTCAATTGAAATAGCGTTTGCAGTTGGTCGCTTCTTACCGAATGTCTAGGGCGATGAAGGCCTTTGGGTCGCAGTCGGAGTTCGCTGTTGCGAGGCAGGGCATCTTGCTCGGATAATCCGACGCTGCTACGCGTTCGGCTGTGCAGGTGGCTCGCGCGCTTCTTCGCGCGCGGCGGTTGTGTCCTGAGGTGTCACCGCGGGCGCTGGTTGAAGATGGCGCCATTCAGTGGGTTGGGCAGGGCCCCAGCGAGGTGACCGAGCTGGTTAAGGTCACGATAGAACTCAAGAGTGGCATTCGCCCGCTTGGTCTGATGGCCCAGCCTGGGAAGCCTGGCTGCGCGGCAGCGGCCAGAGAGGTCAGCGGCAAACTTCTCCCGCGGGCCAAATGGCTGCGTCTATCCCAATGGAAGCAGTTGCGTACTCTGGGGCACGATATGGTCGGCGGCCGCGCGATCAGAACAGTTGCGACGGGTGGGCTGCACAAGCCCAATAAGCGAACGAGACGA